TTGGAAAATCTCATTACCCCACACTTCAGATGTTATTCAAGTTCAAACTACCCTATATGGCAAGAGTTTGTAGGTTAATTCCAAACAAGAGCAGCTCATCAGTAACTGTAAAGATTAATGTGAAAGGAGAAAGAAATTGGGAGCATCACTCAATTTGGAATGAGCCAAAATAGGACCCTGTTTGCTCAGCTGCTGCCTCCCACCTGTGGACCGCTGTATGGCCCTAATGAGAAAGGAACAGAATCCCTGTGACAGGCAGAAGGATTTTCCTGCACATGCAACCACTTAGTGCTGCAGCTGTGCTGACAGCTCGTGCCCCGAATTCCATACATGATAACGCCCTCCCCTTCCTCACATGTCCCAAAGAGAAATACACCTGCACGGCTGGCTGAGAGCAGCATCCCATGCTGCTGTGGAAACCAAAGTAGGATCCTGACCCGCTCTGCGGTGCTACAGCAATTCCCCCATGCTGGAGGAGCAAGGGCTGCCTCATCCTGGAACTGGACTTGCTGCTTCTGCTCCTGTGCCTCTCCAGATGTGCCTCTGTCAGGAGCTGTTGGTGTAGGGGCTCTGTGTGTGGTGCGCTGCCATGTCCCCGGGAGCTGCCCTGCGGCCTCCTGCAGGTGTGTCGCATGTGCACGGGTGGTGAACGGTGGGAGCGAGGAGCATCAGTTCTCGCTCTGCATCTCATTTTGCTCACAGCAAGGCTCACGCTAATTCTCTGTTACACCTCATCAGATGCCTGAAATTCTTTTTCTAGTTCTACTGCTATTGGACCTGACGAGTAGCATCTACACTGGCAATAGAGAAACTAGAGAAAGGAGCCATTGAGTTTGCTTAGCTGAAAGGAAAAGAATTAATCTTCTAAAAGCAAATTACTTGACCCACATCTACCATATGTTTCCGCTCCGGCCCCTATATAAATTTGATATTGATTGCTTATAAACCACATATGTACTGAGGTTGTTCCTGACTTGTTTGCCGGATTATCTGAGGTGTCAGTGTAATGCTGCATAAATAGGTCAGTCAGCACATTTGTATTTAGCAGCTCATAAATCTGCACATGGTTTTGTAATTTTCCTCCTAAATTCTATAAACGTACAGTTGGAAGGACAGCTCTGTGTTAAGGACAACCGGTTAATATACTAACGTAGGGACATGGACACTGAGGCCAATTGATTTTGTATTCTTAGATGCACTTGCTTGCTCCAGCTGCTGTGCTGCTGCCTCATACTCCGACTTCTTTGACGGGGTATGTGCTGGGGTTTCATTTTGGCTTCTGCATTATTAGTAAAATTGTTAAATAGTTTCAATTCATATGTCCAAAGTGCACCAATACAGCCAAAAAATCCTAATCCCGTTTAGAATTTGGCCACATACTTCTAAATGCTGGTGGCAAGAGTACACCGAAAATATTAAGGGTCTCCTTTTCATTCTTCAGACAAATGTCTACTATTTCTGACTTTTTTTCCAATTGTTATTTAATCTCATTAGCACAGGAAACATTTTCCTATGTGTGATGACCCATATGTTACACCTCTGAAAACTGTGCCATTAGATGCAGTTTCCCAAATCAAAATTTGGCTTATGGAAATACTATTAACATTGATTCTGAAACAAATAGCTGGGCTCAGCTCTTAAATTATGACCTACAAGGGATGATCCTTACATCAGTCTGTAAATTGAGTAACTCTCTAAATCCTCTAGAAGCGATAATTACAAAACACTACTGTACAGACTTAAAGGTATACAGTGGAATGGAGTTTGAAAGAAATATACTGTAAACTGGAAAATAATAAATCCCTGCAGATCTGAATAAGAAGATGGGATAATTATTTGAGGCTGCTAACTATTCTGTGTATTAAAAGCTTATTTTCCCAATCTGAAACTGTAATTCAGAATAAACATTGAAAATCTCTTAAGGAGGGTGTATCTTCTAAGTTGTTCCAACTCTAAGACAAATTGGAAATAATAATACCTGGGAAAAGAACATATTTTATTGTTCAGATGGAGACTTTGGATGTTTAGGAAGTGTAATATTCTCTGAGGAAGGGCAAGGAAGTGGAGGAGAGGACCATCCAGAGAAATCCTGATAACTTAGGAGAAAAAGTATACAAAGACCTGCAAGGGATGTAGAATACAGAAGAAAATTGTCATGACAACTAAAAATTCAAATAATATGTAGAATAAGATTATACAGGTCATATCAACTAATAACTGGTTCTTGGCCTACTTATAGGTCAAAACTAACTAGTTTATTAACTAGTTTATGTGATATCACAATTCATTCCTGAGCTGCTGGAATTTGGTTATGGTTCATCTATGTAAATTCCAGGAAATTTACAATTCTTAAATATTCAGTGGTTGCAGGTAAGAGTAAAAAATTATTTTAAATTAAGAGCTCATGTGGCTCCTGATTTAATAGTTTTAATTAACTGGTTTATGCAGTTCAGTGCTAAAGAGAACTCACAAATTTACAGAAAGTAGTGAGGCCTGTAGACCTGTGAAATTAAGCACAAATAACTTCAAAGGCAAAGATAAGTGTATGCTCAATATTTCCTTAGATTATGGCCAAGGCTGACAATCATGAATCGCCTAACAAAACATTTAATTTTGGACGTGCTGTTTGAAATTGTATTCCAGTGCTGCACAGCTGTTGAGACTTTTTTGACTTCTTAAAAAGAAAAGATGCCTTACTATAACAGCATCTCTGTTACATTAGGGGAAAACATAATTTAAGACTTAACAAGTGTCGAGAAGCTGTGAATTTAATGCAGGTAGAAAGTGACAGTTAAAGCTAGACACAGGGAAGAGCATGTGGGATATCTTGTCTTTCAAAGAAGTGAGTATTAATGCTGTCAGGTGATATAGTGAACCTGATGGATGAGCCGTCTAACCCAACACTGAGGTCATGAGTTCCCTTCAAAACCACATTGTAGAGAAAATATTCATCCTAATTCGTTAAACTTGTATTTCAGAGCACAAAGAATAAAATAGTTATTCTTCATTTTGTGAAGGCCCTCTCTAACATCTTGCAGTAGAGCAAATGCTCGAAACCAACTTGCAGGTCCCTATAAGCATAAATCTAATTGATAATGACAATAGGTATTAAATTGCATAATTCCACTGACTTATAATACAGGAGATGACTTAACAACTCATTGATATGGCAGAATAACTTCATTTACCATTTACTGCAGAAAATGCGGCATCTCTCCATAGTTACAGCATTTCTTACTGTAGGTTCCTTGAAATCAGTTTGATTTTTCTGAGTTGTTCACTTAAAATGAACAAAGCAGTAAATGTAAGTAATAAGCACCTAAATGGAGAGTTAGACAAAGCCACTTGTTATTTAATGTTTTATGATCTATTTATGTTGTGTTATCAGGGTATGCCTGTGGTATTTTGAGGAGTGATGTAAGCTTGCTGTGCCAGCTCTGCCTCACTTGGATCAGAGCCACGGTAGGATAACCCTAGGAGAGCTAACTCCTTTTATGTGGCCTTAGGAGAGCTAATACCATTTATGTGGTTTCATGGCTTTAGTCTGGTGCAGGTAAAGCTCTAATCTGCCTGGAAGATACCATGGTGATGTACCCTACACCATCCTCTTCATGCTGTAGACCTAACTCTTGTGGGACAGTCATTATACCTTATTTAAAGACCTTGCTAAGAAACTGAAGCCACATCCTTGCAACAGGAGGAACATTGTGGAAATCCAAATAGCTTCAAAGCGGTGTTATGCAGTCACATGTAACATACCTGACCAGTGTTCCTTATAAACAGCAAATACAGTGTCAGCAAACCGATAGCTGCATTCATGGAAAAGCTGCTTTCCTGCCTATACGCAATCTGCCTCTTGCTTTCTTACCTGAACTCGGAAGTAGCTTTTTGTCCTCTGCGACAGAGCTACCGCAGTCTGCACATTCATCTTTGTAGCACATGGCACTCTCGCTTGTAATAGCCTCCTTCAAGTTGTGGCTATGACTGACAGCAGAAACCTCAGCATTAGTTTCTCATCGGCCGAAATCAACCTCATTCGAAAATGGCTTTTAAATTTGCCGACTGATTTTGTGAAACAATCTGGCTGGCTGGCAGTGCAGGTGTTAAAGCATCAGGGCTTCCTTCCTGTGGTTTAAGATTTGACAGACTCCAGTTGGTGCCCCTAGTTATTTGACAGTGATGTGGCAACACTGAGTGGTTGCTGATGAACAGGTCTGCAGTGATCATGCCTCTGTTTTCTGTTTTTGTTTTTTGTTTTTATCTTTTCCTCAGGGGAAATCGCTCACATCAAAGAGGTTAACCAGTCTAGTGCAGTCCTACTAAAAGGATCACCTTGTAGCATGGAAGCAGACTCAAATCATTATACATACTTTGTAGCTCACTGATTGCCTGACTCAGAGGACAGTAGAACAAGATGTTGCATGAGCAAGGACCTGACTTGTTTTCTTTTGTGTATACTAAGGCATTACAGACTCCGAGGGACTCTCTAGCCTTTCGATGCCTCCATTTCGAAAACTGTCTGCTCACTTCCTCCTTCATATCAAGCTGGATCTGTGTCTTTTTATTTTCTGCAAGCTCAAGTACAGTGAAAAAAAAGCTTCTGCTAGGCACAGTTTATTAAAAAAATACGTCAATCAAAAACTGGAAGAAATGTAAAAAAAAATGCATATATTAATAAATATACATATGGCATCACATTTATTGCACAATAAATTAGCACAGAAGGTTTCATTTCACTGATGTATTCACATTGAGAAAGAAAGCCTGTGTCTTTGTCTGTTGTCTGTATATTCTCTGTTAATGTTTCTTGCATTTATTTTTATACCATATTTAAAAAAGAACACCTTTTACTCCAGATGTATTAAAGTTGATCCTTTCTCTGTAAATTTGTGTATGTTTATATTGTTGTTTTATCTTTCATTAAAAGATGCAGAATCTCTTTCCTTTGGGAAGTTTGAGATTGTAATATTGAATTTGAAGATTAGTCAAGAGCAAAATCATCCCCAAAAGTTACACACCTTGTGCTTTCTAAAAAGTGACATGAAATGGCATTTTCTTTCTCTCAGTGACACCTAATCAAACACACTTTATTGATAATCATTTACTTTTTATTTTCTTTTTATCAAGCTAGCAGCAGAGAGACCTTTCCAGCTTGCTCATCATCACATAAGCAAACCTTTCTTTAAGCTCGACCCGTTCTGCAACAGTGCCATAGCCTGCGCAGCGATTCAGTCGCTACCCAAGACCGGGTCGACTGAACTGCATTTCCTTAGGAACGGACATGAACAAAGCTGGCTGAGAACACAAGTGTGCGCTTGCTAAATAGGAAGGACGGCGTTTCTCGTTGCTCTCGCTTCTGATACACTGCAGTGTTTTAGGCTGAAAAGGTAGTGTTTTGGGAGTGCTAAGCGTACTGTCTGTGGCGCAGACCTTGGGTAGTAATGCAGGAGGCTGTCATTTTAATTCAGGGGCTCTCTTCAGTTGCTGTTGTATATGTACTCCGGAGGTCACTCACAGAGACCTATTGACAGATTTATGAGAGCACATAGCCGTTGGCTGTGAGACAGAAGATACAGAGCTTCTGAAGCTGAATGGAGCTGGAATCAGAAATCTCTGCTTGGCCTAAGAAACAGCACTCTTGGCTGAGAGAGGTGACGTAAGGACAGCAGGCAGAATCTCTGAGCAGAAAAGCGATGACGGGAAGTAAGTGGAAGGACAAAATGCTGGCACCTCCAGAGCATTATAGGATGCATAGGACAAACAAGCCTTTTTAGCAATGCACAGGATAGACTCAGGACAGCCAGCTCTAGTGCCATCTGTCATACTGCCTTTGGTTTGATATTGAGAAACAGGCATCGGGTTTCAAAGGGACTACCAAAGCTAAAAATGCACGCCCACGCACACACAAAAAGTGGGACAGTCACAGACACAATCAGGCAATAAATTTGAATACATTAACACTAGAGTAATTTCATTTAATATCAGATACCTGTGGGAATTGTTGCTGCTAGGGCCGGGGCTGCTGCGCAGAGCAGCTGTGGGAGGAGGGAGCTGGGCTGCCTTCTGCATGGAGCTCTGGCTTCTCCACTGGCTCTGTCGGTAGCCTGCTGCAGCCTTATCCCTGACCACAGCATCTCTGAAGAGGTAGTCTGAATGCATGCAGGACCAAACATGTTGTAAGTCACCATGAGTGGCAGTTCCACAGGTTTCTGCTTGGTTGGGGTTTCTGGAAGTTTGGGGGGTTTTGATTGTTCTTTGTTTTCCCACTGTGTTTCTGGTTCCTAGAGAGGATGATGCTCACCACTTTAGTGTCTCAGTTTTTATTAGCACAATTCTACTAAGCTTTTATCAGAAAACACTGGAAGTGCCCCGTGAGAGCTTGATTTTACCAAGAGCTCCATCTAGGTCAACTCAAAATATTCACAGTCTAGGGAGGCCGGATGAATTTTAATGAATAGCCACATTGAACCCCAGATCTTAAACTCTGAGATTTAATTTTCCTTTGCCACAAAAATGCTAGCTCTGAGGCATGAACTTGGGGCCAGGCAATCCACAAAAATTTGAGCTCTGTTTCACTTCTCAGTGCCAAATAGAGATATTTATTTCCAAACTCCTGCTGCCACCAATTGCATCAGCTGGTATATTGCCTGTTTTGCCTTAGAAGTTAACTAATTAGATACCAGCATCTGCTTTGAAGAACCATTCCCATCTAATAAGAAATATTTCAAATGTATGCATTAGTTATTTCATGCGATGTTACCCGAAGAAATTTTGGTGTATTTTTTTCAAAATCACTTTGCAACACCAACTGGCTGATAAAAAGATGTGGAGCAGAGCATTTGTATTCCTGAACCCATTTCCTACTTATTCTAGTTATTTCCTTTTCAATGTGAAGTCTCTATTGAATGGATGTATTTTCCTGTATTTGCACAGGATTTAGCAGACTAAAAATATGCATTACTAATATGGAGGCATTCAAAGTAGTCAGGGAGCTGTATTAAGGTTTCTTTTGTGCATAGGTTCAGATGACACAAGTCCACTGTTACACATGAGGGAATTTGGCCCAAACAGTTCAAATAAAATCTGTTCTGCAACCAGTTGATTTTTAAAGGATTTGTCTGTGATCTTTTCATACCTCACCTGATCACTGTCAGCTGCAAGTGATACGATCCTGGGACCAGAGTCTCCAAGTAGGGGCAAACTCCCTTTTACTTCACCATGGAAAAAAAGAGATATGTTTGTTTCTAAATTCATATGAAGACCCACTTCCAAGAATTAAGATTAACTCAGATGTAGGCGTATTTGTACAACCTCCAAACAGCTGAAGTATGACTTTGGTTACACAGTGACCTTCCCATTAAGAATTTCAGTGATGCCATGAGTCTACTGAGGGAAAAAGAACTGAGAGAGAAACACAGTCTGAAGAGACCATGTTTCTTGTCTTATGGGGAAGAGCCATAAGAGCCTTCTGGCTCCTCCTGGGAAGCTGAAAACACCCACCACTGGGTGCTCTTAATTTTAATATTCATTAAAATAACCACTTGGAGCTGGGATCTTGAGTCTGAAAGTTGGGGTTCATCAGACAGTCTCTTTCCCCATGCATCCTTGTGCATAAAACAGCTCTTAAGCCTGCAGGAGGAAATGTTTCCTGGTGCTGCTCTACCCTTGGGATGGTTTTGTGCTCCCAGACAAGACTGGGAAGGAAAATAGCTGGTGGGAAACATGGGAGCTTCCCTGGCACCTATCTGACTGCAGCAAAATATTCACCTAGTCTTCTGTAAGGTGCAATTAAAACCTGCCCTTCAATCCCTACAAAACCAAAGCAGGAGGAAAAAGGCCTTAAACAGTGATGAGAGAAATTGCAAAAGGCTGAGCTCAAACAGTAGTGGAGACTGGCCAAAAAATTAATGAGCTGAAGGTGAATATAGGAGTAAGAAGTGGAAATTAATTGTGGTGAGCAGAATGGAACCGACAAGGGAGGAGAACTAGGCAACTGAGTAATTAGGACCAAGAGAGGCTGAATGCAGCTGGTGGGTTGCCAGCCTGTTGGCCATGGCTGTGGAGAGTTGGAATCAAAAAACCAAAAAATCAGACAAGACCAACTGTTACTGGTCCTTTAAAACCCAACAGCAACATTTTTTTCAGCTAGAAAGCCATTAATACCAAATAGAGATAATTGCCGTTTTCAAATTGCACCTCTAAAATTGTTTGAAATCATGAGACATAAATGCCAAATGGTCCTTTAAGAGATACAAAATAGGACGGCAAAATCCAGTTCCAGAAAACGAGACCTATAGGACTGCATTTATGATGCCTGTTTATTTATTTTAAAATGTACTGAAAACCAAAACGGACAAGTAAAGTGAGAGAAGGCTGTTTTCTTTAGTATCTGGAATGGAGAGTTGGGAATTTCCAGTGATTTGTTTGTGGCTCTTCCATTTATTTATCTTTACGCCAAGTGATTAACAGCTGCTTTCATTTAGATTTTAAAATGACCAACCTTGTAAATTCCTTTCTATCTAGAGATGTCGTGCATACAACTAACACCACTAGACTTATTAATTTAAGTGCATAAGACATGGAATTTTGCTAAAAGAAAGTTGATAGCTATAGGGACCTATATAAAATAAGGTTTTAATCCAGAGATATTTAAGGGTAATTATCACCAATTTCTTTGCATGTATTCTTGGTCCACAGTTCATGTAAGCAAGTTGCTAAGTGGTTGTGAGTCATACCAATCTGCCTTTTGATCTGACTGTGCTGAAGAGATTACTGCTTTCGTCTCCTGTGAGGTGAAGGTAGGCTGAGGTCCCAAATCAGAGGGGTGGAGGGGAAGAGAAGATGATCTCCCTGAGACTGGGCTCATGCTGAGACCTCCTCATGCTATCCTCAGACTGTGAAGTCCTAAGGTGACGTGTACAAAATGGGTTTTGTTTGTACAGACATCGTCTTGAGGGCTGCAGAATCTCTCCAGACAGTCATTACCTCTGACGCTGAAGAGTTTTTTTTCCTAATACCTAAACTAAATCTTCTTTGCTTCAATTTATCCCTTTATTTTTTGCCCAGGCTGCTACAATCACTATAATGAAATGTTCCCTTCATTTTTGCTGAAATAGATAAAAGGTTGTTGTAACATTTCAGCCTCCGTTTGTTTTCTTACTGGTCTTTGGTGAAGTGTTGAGTCACTTCACTGCTCTCCCCTGTGATGTGGTGGATTACGGCTTCCTTGGAGGGCAGTGCCCAGAGAGGGCTGCAGGGCTTCTGCCCAGGCTTTGCAGGCAGAGGGCTGAGGATTACTGTTGTACTTCTCTCAGTAGCACAGCCATGGGGCTTGCCCTTTTTTCAGTAGATGGCCACTACTGAATTGTGTCAGCTCAATGGGCATGGTGATGCCCAGGTCCTTAGCAGTAAAGAGTCAATGGTTGCTCTGCTTCGTGTGTATCTGACTCTTCTTGGGTCAGTGAGGCGTCTTCAGCTGGCATTCAGTAGCATCCTCATTTTTCAGACCATCTTTCTCTTTTCCTGAGGTCACTTTTTTGATTCTAACCCGTGAAACACTTATAGTCTTTTTACCTGCTGATATCTTTATGTGTGGGTGAGAGTGAGGAATCTGCTGGCCTGGTTCTTTAACACAAATGCATGATGAGAGTGCATCATCACTATTTGCCATAAAGGATCTGTATATGTAAATTGTTAAGAGAAATTGCCGTGACAAGAAACTCTGGGAACATGCTCAAATGCTAGATGATAGTCCTTATTAACCAGTGTGGACGTGGACAGTAAATGTCAAACAATATTAAGACATGACTGTAAATGTTATCTTGTTAGTGGCATTTGCACAATTTTTATTGTACTTCTTCTTTGCTCCCAAAATATATTCTAACGCATTTGCCTTCATTGGCCTTTCTTTTGATTTGACTAGATTTTGAAATCTGTTAT